TTTGTAGGATAATAATGAATGTATTTTTTGTAGACAGTTTTTAATTGAAAACTTTATTTTATTCTGTCGCACTAAGTTTGGTTTTGGTTTGATGGGAAACAATGTATGGGTTGGTTTTGGTTCATCTCAGTTTGGTTGGGTTCTTATTATGCCCATGCCTACAGTCACCTATACTCATGCTATAAACTGGCCTGTGACAGGCGAGGAAGATGCAGGAGAGAGGATGGAAGCCGAGGTGGTTCACGAAGGAGAAAGGAAGCGAGTCATACCAATACAAAGGCGGATACTGGGAAGCCCGCGAGAGAGGAGAATGGGCAGACTGTCCAGATATCTTCGGTCACGTTGATTCCGAAGACCAAATGATAGAGTAAAAAAACAAATTATATAAAAGCTTCAATTACGATAATAGCGATTCTTAGTCACGAAATATACCAACTGCCTCTTCTTTTTTTCTTTTGAATTGGTTTCTTCTCGTGTTTCTCATGGTTTTTCTTTTTCATCTCAATATTCTTTTACTCGCCATTTTGCCTTAAGAAACTTTTTCCTTGAGTAAAAAGTCTTCAATCCTTGTAAGTGGAAGAATGTGCATAGATTCATATTTTGATATATTGAATAAGCAAAAGGAATGAAGTTTTTGTTCAGGGCAATGTACACTTTTGCTTCAGGCAAACTCAATCCAGCTCATTCCAGATTCTTTTGCCCCCAACTTCTTAGCAGCTTCTCGGACTTCACTTAACCGATCCCACATGCCCAACATTGCGTAAACATTCGAAAGAGATGTATATACTGAAGGATCTTCTGGAAATGCCTTGAGCAATTGCTCGGCGATTACAGTAACCAGTCTGGCATTCCTGTGAGTTCCGCAAGCAGTGAGCAGAGACATCCATATTGTTTTATCGGGCTCCAACGGCATTTTGTTTATCAATTCTTCTACCTCTTGGAACCTCCCCGCTTGACCAAGAAGATCAACTACGCAATAATAATGTTCCAGATACGGTTCAAGACCATATTCAGATTTCATCAGTTCGAGGATGGATCTTGCTTCTTCAAGCAATCCAGAATGCCGGCAAGCAGAAAGAACCCCCAAAAATGTTACCTCATTTGGTTCAACCCCAGAACTGATCATCTTATGGAAATACCTAATCGCTTCTTCGACTCGTCCGTTTTGTCCACAACCAACAATTATCCCTGTCCAAGAGACAACATCTCTTTCCAACATACCATCAAATAACTCTACACCGCAGTCAATCTCACCACATTTTACATACATATCGATTAGTGCTGTCGCAGTTACAGGTTCTGATTCATAACCTTTCTTAACACACAACCCGTGAATTTGTTTTCCCCATCCAAGAGACACTAAACTTGAACAGACTTTGAGAAGATTTGAGACGATGAACTGGTCGGCAGCAAGTCCCAACTTGTTTAATTCTCTGAACAGAGAAAATGCTAAGGAATTGAACCCTGCTTTCACACAGCCTCTTATTAGGCCAGAGAAAGCAATAATATCTTTATTTGGAAGCCTATGAAACATTTTATCTGCATCTTGAATATTCCCAACGTTTGCGTGTAGATCAACAAGAATGCTTCCTACTATATAATCCAACGCATAACCACTGATTATAACTAAAGCATGTACCTGAAGCCCAAGTCTCAAGTTGGCTAAGTTGATGCATATCTTTATGGCACCACTTAGAGTGTAGGAATCAAAACACAAATCTGAATGATACATCTGCAAAAGTAGCCCCAGTGCTGCTTTATTCTCCTCGTTGATCAAAAATCCAGAGAGCATAGAATTCCAAACAGCGACGCTACTAGAGAGAGACGATTTTTGCTGATGAAAGAGATCAGCTGCTTCACACAGAGAACTACAGTTGGAGTACATATCAATAAGAGCAGAGAGTGCGAAAGAGCTAGACTCGAGACCTGACTTTAGGACATAGCAGTGCAGCTGTTTACCCATTGTTAATAAGCCACCAGCACTACAAGCTTTAAGGCCACATGGTAAAGCAAAACCGTCTAGCACGAGTCCTTCTCTCTGCATCTTAACTAGAAACTCCAATGCACGAGGACTACCCTTATCGACAAATCCCGAGATCAAACAGTTCCAGGACACGACATTCGGCTGCGGAATTTGGTGAAACAAACTAACTGCTTCGTCAACCAAACCTGCTTTACAATAACCAGAAATGAGAGTATTCCACGTAGTTGAATTAGGCCTTCGAATCTCCGAAAATGCGATATTGGCTTCACTAAGTCTCCCATTCTTAACATACATATCTAAAACAGCATTCATCAAAACAACATCACCTTTCAGATTCTCTTTGCCAATTCTTTCATGAATCAAACGTCCCAGCTCAAGATCACCCACTAACCCACACGCTTTCAAAACCGCAGAATACATGAACTCGTTGGGCGGTTCTGCTTGGGTTCCTAACATGCTTGTGTACAATTCAATAGCCTTGTTGGGTTTTCCAAGACTTGTATACCCAGAAACCATGGTTGTCCAACTGACAATGTTCCTTTCAGTCATTTCATCGAACACTTTACGCGCGTCACCCAAGGACCTAAAATCCAAGTGCATTGTGATCACGTTATTTGCAAGAAACACGTTTTGAGAAATCCCTTGCTTAATCAAATGAGCCTGAATAGATTCCCCACGCTTGAAAGCTTGCATTTTTCCGCAATGGCGCAATCCTGCTGCTATAAGCTTCAAGTCCATAGCCATTCTTAGTGAACGACTCTCAGTACGAATTTCAAGAATTCATTAAAATTCAGCAGTCTAGGATCTGTAGTTCCTATAAGCATAAACCAGAAAGGTTCTACGAAGTGATAACACCTGTTTCATTTTTCCTTTGTTGGTGGTAACTCGCAAGTATACTTAGCGAGAAAACATAGCACCATGGCCTTTAACGTAAAACGGAAGGTAGTCCATTTCGGAGCACCAAAAACGGCACGCTATTCAACATGGTAGTTAAGACATATCTCTCATATAGGTTGGAGTTAAATTCCAAGAGAAAATGAACTAGTATCAGAGCATGTCTAAGTAGAGTGGTTTGTCATGGTCGTTGAATCTGATAAGTAGAGTTGGAAGTAGAGAAGAAACAAATTGCGGAAGAATGTAATGAGTGAGCCTGAGAAGTGATGTCCTACATGCTAAAGATCATGACGTGTGGGTTCAAAAATCATGAAAACTGTTATGCCGAATTTTGAAGTCAAAGGTCGGATGACTTTAGTTATGCCAAACCGTGGATGCAAAAGTCGTGATGATGACCAAGACAAAGGAGAGATGCGAGCATTATGCAATGGCTGAGGCAGTCAACTAGGTCATAGTAACCGAGATATACGGAGTTAGATGCTCGCGGGGTTAACCTGCAAAGCTCTAACCTGTTTGTAGACCTAACCTGTTTCTCATCAGAGTGTTTATATCCAATCTGCAGACTTTGAACCCAAATCGACACCCCCTCTACAATATAAATTCAATTGTATCATAGGTCTTCCCAAATATGTATTTACGGTGGATGTAAATTACGAACTATATAAGGTGAATCACCAACTCCAAACGTTCTCAGTTAGTAAAAACAAGAAGCAAAATACAGAAATACAAATCCAAATACACCAGAATCTTATCTTGGTTCCTTGATTTAAAAATCCCAAAAGATCATTTCAACACTACTTATACATATATACCCTTCCTTTATTCGTGAGCGCTCCGCACAAACACAAGAATCAGCCACAGCAAGAACCACATGCCGGTAGGGAATCTGAAAAACCAACAACCACATTTCCCATTCTTCAGATTCAAGTTAAAATCAAACTATTAAACACATTTCAAATTAACCCATGAACCCTTTCACATTGCATATGCACTGCTTTCTAAAGTTAATTTCTCGAGGAGTAAAAATATCAAAACTCATCTTGGGTTACTTACTGTGGTCAGCTCCACGGATATCATTCAAGCCACGCACATTGTCAAGCCCCCCACGAGGAGGTCGAGGGGGC